GCAAAAGCAATACTTGAAAATATTTCTGTTTACTTGTAACAACAGAAGACAAGGGACAGGCAACAGATCGTTTATTAAGGAAATCAACACGTATTTATACATATTTCATGTACATTATTATAGCTTATTCAAGCAGACAAACACAGCCTTTTGATTGGTTGTTTCTTGCTCAAGGTTATTCTATACTGCTTGTGACTGGTTTCTCAGAAATTTAAGCCATATATCTGCGAATCATATTTGCCCACGTTAAGTCTGCTGTGATTGGTTGTTGAATCAGTCTTGTTCCTATTTCCTCACGGCCAATATTAGCGACCCAGACATTGACGTAAATTAATGTCTACCAATCGGCTAGTAACCTGCTCTTACCACATGCTGACAACAATGAATGGCTGAAAAGCTTCAATGCAATTCTAATAGTATACATGTCTGTATTAAGAGTATTCAGCTGAAGAGCTCTGTCGAAACTTGATAAATTCATTAAATCCTGTTTCATTAACCTTTGTTGCTTGTTATAATGGATTTATTGTTATTATTATTCACAATATAGCAAGCTATGCGTCAGTGGCATAGCGGTTAGGACCCTCGCCGACCACCCACATGGTCCGGGGTTCGATCACCGGCCACCGACGCACTCCTTTACCTCGCTAAGCCACAAATAATGCTAGTAAAGAGGAAAGGTTGGGCATGAGGCTAGCAACTCCATCCTGTAAAATAAACACTGCTACAGACACTTCAAGCCACTATAGCTTGAAGCCCTATGTTCCACTGGGAACGTGAAGGAAAAATTATTATTTATTATTATGGCTAGCTACTTTGCCTACGGAAAATTCCGCAAACAGGTAGAACTGTCAGACTTTATAAAATAGGTGAAGTTTACTCTGTTGAGCGTAGAAGCATGTGTGTATCGGTGGTAGAACTGTCGTCAACCATTTAGATGAGGAGGTCTGACTCCGGGCCACATTCATGGATCTCGCTTAGACGTTAATAAGGCCGGTAAAATAGGGAATGTTAGGTTGGAGACAATCCTCACCCCACCCGCCTCCACATGCAGCAAACAAAAACTACACCATCGCTAACACTGATACTCGATAGCTTGAAGCCAGAACTCAAAGGAATGATTGCTGAAGTACTGAGTGAAGAAATATTTACTTTTCAATTATATCCTCATCTCACGCTGGCTCTACTCTAATATACACATATACAGCATTTTATTACAATACACAACAGTTTACCAACCAAATGGCACTGATATTTTTGTTAACAATAATTAATCAGTCAGTGTCAAAATGTCAATGGGTTGATAATAAACGAAGAAAATCAATATACACAATTGAAAGGTAGAAATGCTTAGAAAAAATTAATTTTACAAGGATAACACGGAATTAAAGATGAAATGGTCAAAATAAATAGAAAATAAAATAATTTGGACAATTATAATTTTTACAATTTTAAAGGTTTACGGGGAGGACGGCGAAGTAGTCCGGTTTGTACATTCATGTAACGACGGTCAAGGCGTCTTCATGGCAAGGAAAGAAGATGGCACACTGAGAAGGAGTGTGTATAGGAAACCTATAACAACATAGAAGAGGCAAATTTTAAATGTGTATTGATTTCCTTCGTTTATTATCAACCCATTGACATTTTGACACTGACTGATTAATTATTGTTAACAAACATATCAGTGCCACTTGATTGGTAAACTGTTGTGTATGGTAATAAAAATGCTATGGATATATATATTAGAGTAGAGCCGAAGATGAGGATCTAATTGAAAAGTAAATATTTCTTCACCGGCTCAACGAATAAATATATTAAAAATTCTAAAAACATAAGCAATAGCCTTACTTTTCGCTGGAATCGGGGAAGTGAAATGACCCAGGCTGGTGAAAGCCTTCGGGAAGCCAGTCAGCCGATGTGCCTTCTTTCGATGAAAGCAAAAGTAAGGATGGGTACCTGGAATGTTCGTACAATGTACGAAACTGGAAAGGCTGCCCAGATAGCCGCTGAAATGAGAAGGTACAGAATAGAAGTGTTGGGAATCTGCGAAAGCAGATGGAACGGAACTGGAAGGTGCCAACTACCTACTGGAGAGACAGTAATCTTTTCCGGCCACCCAGAGGACAACCATGAGCACACCGAGGGAGTGGCCATCATGATGTCACCAACAGCAGCCAAAGCTCTCATGCAGTGGGAACCAATCTCCTCCAGGATAATGACAGCCAGGTTCAACTCAAAAGGAAGGAAAGTTACAGTCATTCAATGCTATGCGCCTACAAACGTCTCAGAACAAGAGAAGAAGGAGGCGTTCTACAGACAACTACAAGCAATAATGGACAACGTCCCAAATGGCGATATCAAAATCCTGATGGGTGATATGAATGTGAAGCTGGGAGGAGACAACACGGGAAGGGAACTCACCATGGGTCGTGAGGCCCTCGGTGAAATGAACGACAATGGTGAACTCTTCTCAGACTTCTGCGCCTTCAATGATTTGGTGATTGGTGGCAGTGTTTTCAAACACAAGGATATACACAAGACGACATGGATTTCACCAGATGGAAACACCAAGAACCAAATAGACTTCATCTCAATTTCAAGAAAGTGGAGACGGAGCCTACTGGACACAAGGTCAAGGAGAGGAGCAGATGTGGGTTCAGACCACTATCTAGTACAAGGGACTTTCAAGGTGAAACTAAAAGCCTCGAGGATAGCTGGGGATAGGCCACAATGCAAGTTCAACACTCAATTACTGAAGGACACAACCACAAAAGACACTTTCACTGCAACTGTCAGAGCAAAGCAGGAAACACTACGCGACATCACTGAAGAATCATGCGTGGAAGAACATTGGAAGTCTCTGAAGGCGATTCTCAACGAAACGTGTTCAACGGTTCTAGGAAGAAAGAAGAGACAAGACAAGGAATGGCTCTCAACGGACACTTGGAAATTAATAGAAGAGAGGAGAATGGTGAAAGAGAAAATGATTCAATGCAAGGACGGACAGGAGAAGGAGACGCTGAGCTCAACTTACACAGCACTGGACAAAGAAGTGAAGAAGAGTGCTAGGAAGGACAAAAGACGATTCTACGACAACCTCGCCACTGAAGCTGAGAAGGCAGCAGGCAAAAGGGACCTGAGGACACTATATCAGATAACCAAATCTCTATCCGGGAAGAGATCAACACAAGCGAAACCTATAAAAGACAGCCAAGGGAACCCAATTACCAAGGAAGAAAAACAGATTAAACAATGGGCGGATCACTTCAAAGGACTCTTGAACCGACCATCACCTGCAACCCGTCCAGAAATACCAACAACAGCGCGCACACAACTGCAAGTTGACACCAATCCTCCAACGAGAGCTGAAGTCTTGAATGCAATCAAGCTTCTGAAAGCTGGAAAAGCAGCTGGACCAGATGGAATACCCCCTGAAGCACTGAAAGCAGACCCAGAGACTACAGCAGACATGCTGACTCCATTATTGCAAAAGGTCTGGAAGGAGGGAAAGGTGCCTACTGACTGGAGGAAAGGTTACCTCGTGAAACTACCAAAGAAGGGCGACTTAGGCCTCACTCTGCAAGAACTGGCGAGGAATCATGCTCCTATCGACGCCAAGTAAAATCCTGAGTCGCATCATCCTGGAGAGATTAAAGGACGCACTGGAGACAGAACTCCGACCAGAACAAGCTGGATTCAGGAAAGGCAAATCATGTACTGACCAAATTGCAACTCTACGCATCATCATCACAGAACAAAGCATGGAATGGCAATCAAACCTCTACCTCAACTTTATAGACTTTGAGAAGGCCTTCGACAGCGTTGATCGTGAAGTAATTTGGAAATTACTCGAGTACTATGGCGTACCCCAAATATTCATCAACCTTATTCAACAGCTGTACGACAACGGCACATGTCAAGTGATCCACAACGGAAAACTCAGCGAGGCGTTTGGAGTAAACACAGGAGTCAGACAAGGGTGCTTATTATCACCAATGATATTCCTAATTGTGGTGGACTGGATTATGCGTCAGACAGTGGGAAACGAGAAGACAGGAATATCCTGGACCGACGCGAAGAACCTAGAAGACCTGGATTTCGCGCGTGGATGATTTATGTTTGATGTCACACAAAATCGAAGACTTACAAGCGAAAACCGACAAACTGGTCGAAGAAGCAGCAAAGACAGGACTCCAGGTGAACATAGACAAGACGGAGGTTATGAAAATAACCAACCAACAACAACAACAACAGAAATATCCAGCGCCAATCACCATCAACGGGAGGGATTTGAAAGAGGTTACTTCATTCACTTATCTAGCGAGCATTGTCTCAACTACAGGAGGAACGGACGAGGATGTCAAATCGAGCGAGAATCGGGAAGGCGAGAAACACATTCATCAACCTGAAACCAATCTGGAAATCTTCGTCACTCAGCATCAACAACAAAATTCGGATTTTCAATACAAACGTAAAGTCAGTTCTTCTATACGGATCAGAAACTTGGCGGGGGTCACAAAGAATATTTCCAACAGCCTGTTGCAGACCTTTATCAACAACTGTCTTCGCTCTATACTGAAGATCAGATGGCGGGCCGGAAAGAATCACCAACAAGGAACTATGGGAACAAACAAAGCAAGAACCAATCGCCCAACAAATATGCAGGAGAAAGTGGAGATGGATTGGACACTCGCTGAGGAGACTGCTGGGTGACATCGCGCGTCAAGCCCTCGAGTGGAACCCGAAAGGGAAGCGGCGAGTGGGACGTCAGTGCAAGAGTGACATGGAGGAGATCGTGTGAAGAGGAGTTGAAAGAGTATGGACTAACATGGATGCAGGTGAAAAGTACAGCAGAAGACAGAAGTGCAAGTGGAGACGTGCAGTTGAAGCCCTATGTTTCACTAGGAAACCAAGAGAGCAATAATAATAATAATAATAAAATTACGCATAAAAATGCGACTGTAATTTACCTGCAAACAATCAATTATAATACTAGGACTCACCGTATCATCTGTTAATATCTCTTTTGATAAACATGATTGAATACGTTGTAGTTCGTCATTTATCCCGTTTACAGCATCATTTGAAGGTAGTGTAAAAGTTAAACAAGTTGAACCGCATAAATTCACTGTCACTAACCGTTCACCCCATAACCATGAATCATCAAAATGTGGTACAATACAGGCGCCACGATCTGATTCATATTCTAAATTGCATAATTCCACTGGAAGAAACTCCTCGTCAGGAGGTATTTTTTCTTTTAATTGATCATTATATCGAGTAATAAGAAATTTACAATATGCAGGTAAACCGCAAAATTCACCAACATGAACTTTTTGTCGTTTAAAGTTTACTTTAGGTCCATAATCCTAAAAATGTCAAATAAGTAGGCGGGTACGTAAGTTGAAGGACTGAGTATAAATGATTGACAAGAGTTTCAACATAGAACTTTACAAAGAAGTGAAACAGTTCAATTTGCCATACTCTAAGCTGTACATACACAAGAAGCATTTTGAGGCATATTAACAATGGGTCTTCAGTCACTGGTTCTTAGGGTCCCGAAGGTTGTCCCCGACCGGGCAGTCTACCTACACATTTCTACGTGGGTGGTTCAAACCAACTGTCAAACACTTCATGGATAGAACGCAAATATCTGTGGTAGTATGTTGAGGGCTGTCTGCCAGCCGAAATCGGTATACAGACATTTACGCCAATGTTTACGTCCCAAATCGGAGTCATGAGAGGAAAAACAAGGACAAGGCCTAACCTTAAGGAACTCAACAACGAATCATCACACCAGACCTAGCGTGGGCGGATACAATTCGCAGGTATATTACCGGACTGTTTAAGAATCGATCACAAAGAGATGACTGAATAACATTCAGCAGGAAAACAACCAATCAGAAGATGTTGCTTCTCTGCTAACAATAACTCTAATAATAATGTACATAAAAATCTATAAAAATCGGTTGATTTTCTCAATAAACGATCTGTTGCCTGGCCCTTGTCTTTTGTCGTTACAGTTGGAGACCACTATCTTTCACTTCCACTGACCATCTCTCACAACCGCAAAGGAGGACAGAGTGAAATAATTCTTCATAAAACGAAAATATACATAAAACAACAGCAACAACAATACACTAAACGTAATACTGACACACACAGTGCGTCGGTGGTATAGCGGTTAGCACGCTCGCCGACCATGCATATGGTCGGGGTTCGATCCCCGGCCGGTGCACTCCTTTACCTCACTGAGCCAGAGATAATCCTGGTAAAGAGGAAAGGTTGGGCATGAGGCTAGCAACCCTATCCTGTAAAAATTAAACACTGCTACAGAAACTTCAAGCCACTAGCTTGGAGCCCTATGTTCCACTGGGAACGTGAAGGGAAAATTATTATTAATAATACTACACACACACACACACACAAACAGAATGACTTGAAAAAATAGTGCTGTTGGTTAAGACGTTGTAGTAGAAGAATATGCTACAAATAAGAAATATACACGAAAATGACGGATTATGAGTTAAATTTTACAGTTTGTAAATTTACTAAGCAATTTGCAATGTACACACAGTTTCCAGAGGAAACTGTGGTGAAATTTTACTCCTTCACCTGTGTACAGGGCAAACTGCCAACTGATCTGCCCATTGTGAATTTGACTTATGGTAACACTAGTTCACCCAATAAGCTAACCAGAAATCAGGTAATTTCAACTGTTCCGGTTCTGAGATGAGTCGAACCTGGTACACCACTGATAAGCTCGATGCTAAACGAAAGAAAAGGCTATCTGGTGTTTAGACCTGGCTAGTAATCACCACTGGTTGGTGTGAACAGTAAACAACTACTCATCTTAATCAAACAATCAATCAATAGTGTGCAGTTTTATAGATAACGAGTTATTGAAGTTGAATAAAAACAAGGCACGAATCATAAGTCTCATGACTCATACAAGCTTAAGGGGAAAGAAAGGTCGGCTTCAATATTCAAACTAATCATAATCGGTTTCACTTATCGTCATGAGACATGGTCATCGAAAGTGGAAGATAGCGGTCTCCAACTGTTACAACAAAAGACAAGAGCCAGGCAACAGATCGTTTATTGAGAAAATCAACCGATTTTTATAGATTTTTATGTACATTATTACTAGAGTTATTGTTAGCAGAGAAGCAACATTTTCTGATTGGTTGTTTTCCTGCTGAATGTTATTCAGTCATCTCTTTGTGATCGATTCTTAAACAGTCCGGTAATATACCTGCGAATTGTATCCGCCCACGCTAGGTCTGGTGTGATGATTCGTTGTTGAGTTCCTTAAGGTTAGGCCTTGTCCTTGTTTTTCCTCTCATGACTCCGATTTGGGACGTAAACATTAGCGTAAATTGCTGTATACCGATTTCGGCTAGCAGACAGCGCTCACCACAGTACTACTAATGAAAACAAGTACAACGGTATGGAAGAGGATAACTGCATTGAATGATTAGCTGCTGTGTAGAGAAGAGAATAAAGAACACCGGTCCCGAAGATTAAGTACACTGACATCCTCCAAGGTGATAGGACTGTGTGAAGAACGGAGGATATCCGAAATTTTATTGGAAAATATTACGCCGTAATCGCATTTGTCCTAATGGTAAAAGTCTCAAACACCACATGCTGAATGTGATCGATGAAATCGATGCGTCAGTGGCACAGTGGTTAGGACACTCGCCGACCATGCACATGGTCCGAGGTTCGATCCCCTGCCGACGCACACCTGATATCTATGGTCGGCCTGCAAAATTTGAGCTAGCGATATCCATGCTGAAAATTCCATACTTGTACCAAAAATACAGTGTGGAATCAAGCTGTAAATCAAAAAAATAAATAAATAGAATAAAAATAAGCACGTCTTCCGGACCTGGAGAATAATATATCCAACGTATGCATCTCTGCTTTCAACTAACAGAGGCCAAACGCAGTTTATTCGAGGATTATGTCTGACTCAATAAGGAAAAGATCCAGAGATGCAAGAATTAAGATACTGAAAAGTTGCAAAACAACCGAATCTCACAAAAATTCCCATGTTTACCAGTGAAATATGTTTTGAATTACTCTAGTATGTGTTTGTCTGACATTTGGCTGGAAATCTTATCTCTTGGTCCCAAGTTTTGTGTTATTTCGTCCAGATTTGACGAATTAGACACAAAGGTATAGACACAAGACGTACTTCCGACGTCTAGTGAAGATCTCGAACAATTCGAGTTTGCCATGCTACATTGTTACTGTGCATACTTGAAAGCGCAATGCAGATAATGGACAAACGATATCAAAAGAACATAAAGGGCAATTATATGAACTGTAGAATAACAAGGATATAATACTAATTCGTTCAGATAAAGGATCAGGAATAATTCTTTTTTAAACCATAAGGATTACATTGATACATCATGTATCACTCTTTGTGAGGAAGAAACATTTCTAAAACAAACCGATCGGTAAGACAGAATGCAGAGAGTATTGAGAAGGAACTATCAAAAACTTTGAAGATATCGAAAGACGAATCTATTATTACTTCGCATATGTATGAACATCTCAAGTCGTACGGTTCAACCACTTTTTTTCGGTTATGTGGTCTTCCAAATGTGCACAGAGATGGTGACATGGCTCAAAATCGTTGCCAATGGCGAAGATGTATTCAGTCTCTGTAATCTTTCATATTCCTTTCTACCATTACCCATTATTCTGTTTCGCTCTTATACCTGTCAAACTCTATTGATTCTCTTCAGTCATCTTCCTGTCTACTTTTGTGTGCTATTCGGAACGTGGCAACTCGAACTGCTGCACTTGGGTGCCAAGTTCTATGTTGAATCCAGACAGACAGTCACTCTTATGACTTACATAGGATATTCTGAACTCGCCTCATCATTCTACAGATAAATGGCTTACTAAAATTCTCGAACCAGTAAGATCAAATCCATGTAAATATAGTCTTTTGGACAGTTTTGACTTCGTCAATTGCGCTGATGTAATTAATGCGACTGGTAAGCATATGATTTCATAGGGTGTTTTTTCCTTATTTACAAATGTAGGACTCGTAGAAACTGTTATGTTATCTTTGTCATTACATTGACACAAAAACCATAAAAACAGACTGCCAACAAGCTATCTAAAGCATCTACTATTGAGACGGTCGTTTAATGTGCAATTTAGATTGGACGAAGCCGCCATTGGGTCTCCTTTAGGACATCTCCTAGGAGATATCTTCATTTGTAAGCTTAGAAAATGGCTCATTGAAAGAAACTATCTAGTCTGCATATGTATAAGATACATGTGGACGACACATTTATTATTTGTGATGATAACTGCTCAGGTACCGAACTTCTTTGAAAATCTGATGGTTCTCACCCAGTTATGCCTTTCACTATCGAAGAAGAGTCAAATACTATATCTCACTCCTTAGATGTTATGTTAGACAGAAGAGAGGACAGCACGTTAAAAAAAAGGCGATTTACCGAAAGACAACATTTACAGGGTAGTACACGAACTTTAACATTTGGGTACCCCTAGGCAGGAGGAGAAATCCTATTCATTCTCCATGTTCTAGAAGTCGGAAAATTTGCTCTATAGATATGGTCGACATTGAACTAGAAAATGTTGTTAGATAATGGATATCGTAGACGGTGTATTGACAGAAACATCAAGAAAGAAACCGTCCTCAGCCAAATCACTGTCAAAGAAGACACTGTTTATGAGTTTGACGTTCAAAGATGACATTTTTGCTGAAGTAACTAGAAAGTCGTTTATCTGAATGTATTAAACGCTCTTTTTGAGCATATATTCATTCACATGCTTGTGTGAAGCTGACTACATTGCACGTTGTGTGTTCTCCGTAAACGCGTAGCTGAACACTATCCGATCTGGTTAATGAAAGGTGAACTATAGGACGACGAAATCTTCAATTTGTGAACACCTTTTGAGGTCAGGTCATTTAGCCCCACGTGATCTATCTTTTAAAGTTACCTACAGGACAAAATCCAATCACTTCAAAAGCTTACGTTTTCTCCATCTATGCATAGCCAAAGCTCTACCTGTACATGGGCTGGAAAAGAGCTAGCGGCGGTCAAACCAAAACATGGCTTTACCAGTCAATGAAATCTACAACAGTTAGTCTAAGCCAGCCACGTAGGAAGGTGTAGATTTCCTGACTGGTTTGGGTTCTCGGGACGGTAAAAACCAATGGCTGGAAACAATTGGTGATATGGCTCAAAATCGTTCTTAGTGACGGCTGGCGCAGATGCATCCACTCCTTGTGACTTATGATTTCCAATGAAACTGTTTTGTTCTTCATAACTACTATTCGTTTGTCTCACACCTCTGTTTACTGTCTCTACTATGCATTTCTTCTACTTTTATCTCTCGCTTTGTGTGCTACAAGGAGTGGAGTGTGGCGACTTGAACTCCCGCACATCGGTGCAAAGTTCTATTTCGAAAACAGACGGACATGGGAAGAAACCTAAATTATGCGTTTTGTTAAACCCCTTTCTTTACTTTGGTCAAAGTAATGTTCTTTCTAGTTTTTATTCTATTTTACCACCTGAATTCATTTCACTTCAATTCACCTTCGCCGTCTTCATCGTTATCATCATTGTACTCTTAAATTTTATAGACAACAGTTGACCGACTATTTTTTTAAAATCTTAATACCAATTCACTTGTTTAATAATCTTTAAAAGTTGTGTAGTGCATCCACTTCAGCTCCAAGCCCCCCCCCCCGAATAAATCAATTTAATTATCTTTATTCTTGGCATATGTATATTGACTGAGCTACATTTAGTGTCACTTCGCGGCTTTTTCCGCATTACATAAGTACGACTGTACAGCTTGAAAATGAAGTCGTTGAAAAGAAGTGTGTTTTTTTCGCTGAGCAAAACTGTGCGTTTTTCCTTATGAATTAATGGGCAACAGCGAATAGTGAATAAGTTTGTAAAAGGCATATTCAAAGCATACTATCTTGTCAAGCGACTGACAGTATGGTGTCGACACAATACAATACGGTACCATCTTATTCTGTATAAACTGTTGTCTGTGGCTTGAGCCACCGATAAGATTTATCACTAGAACAAACACTAAATAGTAGGGAGATGGATTTGATGCCACAGAACGCAAATGATTCAGCATTTTGTGGAGAAACATGGGACACGTGAGAAAAAAAACACAAAGAAACACAATATTGAAGGAAAGCCATAAGTAGCACAACACGGAAGATCTGTGTAAATAATGATTTGAAGATGAGGTGTACATAAGTCCGCTATATAACGATACCGAATTCCAAATAAGCATTCCTTTGCCAAGTCTCTCGTTTTCTATCGTTACAATTCTGGCTTGATTCAAATGCGGAGTAAATAAGATGCTGTGCGTGGGTGGCACAGCGGATAGGACGCTAGCCGACCATGCACGTGGTTCGGGATTCGGTCCCGGCCACCGACGCACTCCTTTACCTCGCTAAACCAGAAATAATACTGGTAAAGAGGAAAGGTTGAGCATGAGGCTAGCAACCCAATCCTGTAAAAATAAACACCACTGCTACCGAAACTTCAAGCCACTAACTTGAGGCCCTATGTTCCACTGGGAACGTGAAGGAAAAGAAAACAGAATCCTTTAACCGACACAATTTTTCTTTTTAACTCAATTAAAAAGATAGAAAATGGTAGTTATTATTACATTGACTACAGTAACATAGCAAAAAGTGCTATACAATCATTTTCTTTCACCACCAAGACTACCAAGATACATCCGGGTATCAACCAAGGGACGTGTGTACTGCTCAGCAGTTCCCTCCATCCTTCTCTATGGCTCTGAAACACGGCCAATACGAGTTGAAGACATGAAAAGGTTGACTGTTTTTGATCATAGATACCTGCGATCTCTTTCTCACGTTAGGTGGTGGTATTATAAGGTAAGTAATCTTGACGTTAGGCGTAGAGTGTTGGGCAAATAGGGAAAATCAATCGACGAGGCTATAAAGTTACATAGATTGAGATGGCTAGGTCACGTGCTGCTCATGCCTAACCATCGCCTCCCCCGACGGGAATTACTAGCTGATATAGGTGCAGGTTGGAAAAGAGTAAGTGGTGGCCAAACAAAAACATGGCCTCATCAATCCATGAAATTATTGACAGTTGAACTGAGTCAGGTAGGGAGATGCAGACTTCCGGGTTGGGGCCCTCGGGACTCTAGGAATCAATGGCTGGAGACAATAGGTGACATGGCTCAAAATCGTTGTCAATGGCCAGCTCAGATGTATTCAGTCTCTGTAATCTTTCATATTCCTCTCTACCATTACCCATTATTCTGTTTCGCTCTTATACTTGTCAAACTCTATTGATTCTCTTCACTCATCTTATTGTCTACCTTTGTGTGCTATTTGGAACGTGGTAACTCGAACTGCTACACTTGGGTGCCAAGTTCTATGTTGAATCCAGACAGACAGACAAACATAAAGCCACTAAAATTGAGAAAACACTAAACCAACGAATCACCACATATAACATGAATCATGCTTACCTGTTTTCTTCTGCCAGACTGAGATAAAAACCATGGCTGCTCATCAATTACACTAATCAGCATAGCTTCTTCACTTTCACTAATAAAATCTTGTATAACTTCAACACCCGGAAATGAGAAACCATTTTCATGTGTATGAGTTTCACCTGATGATAAAGCAGACTTTTCAATTTCTGCTATACAACATTTAGAGCAAAAAGTGAATTCGGAAACCTGTTGACCAAACGGAACACTATGATTGGTGGGAATTTACCGTACACTGTCTGGAATACTATTGACTTCGCAAACGGCACAACTTCGAATTCCTTTACATCCACATTTAGGTAGCATTTGATAAGGTCTACACAGGAAGTGGTAGATAGAAATAGGTAATTAAACAGCACTTCTAAACACATATGATATAACCTTTTATTCAATTCATTGACACTCAATATATTATATTTCAGAAGTTTTCCTCCTATCCATAAATTTTCTTTAACCCTTTAAGAGGGATATTTAGTACTGATTACAACTGAAGTTCTCTGGCTACTTATATCAGCAATACGCATACCAACCGTCGATGGAATTATAAACTCCGAATATATATATTCATGGAATAGTGCATCATTTCACTTTGAAAATGATGTATTATCACCATGATTCAGCAAAATATCTACAGATTCGTAATATCGAATTTCTGGCTATTACGATACTATCGCTGCTGAAAAACCAGTAAACAGGGTGGAATTTCAACCACTTCATATTTTGATAATATGTTCCTTAAGAATTCCACTATGTATTTTCAAACACCCATACATGGAATCCAATGTAGCACACCTCCACTTTGACCACCTCCGGCAACGTCGCAACACCAACCCGTCAGTCAAATATAGGATTTACTATGTTTCGGTGCATGTAATCTTGTTCTACGCCTGTGAAACTTGGTCTCTTCAAGCTCAATATGTACGGCAACCCTGAGTATCTGATATTCACTGATTTCTCACAACTACTTGAGTCCGATGGTATCACCATGTAAAAAAAATCCTGAAGTCCAACAGAGTGTTTGGACATGGAGGTCATTTTTCATTGAGCACTTTCACATTGAAATATCGGCTTTGGTGGCTTGGATATAAGCTAAGAATGTCATCCCAGAGTAGCCCATACCACTCGTTGTTAGCTAGACCTGGAGGTAGATGGAAAAAGCCGAAAGGTGTTCAACCTATGATGTGGCCCCGTGGGATAAAGGATAATTGTGTTAGGTTAAAATCGCAACTCCATACGTGGAGTGAGAGATAATTTGAATCCGTGGCTTGAGACGTTACTAAATATAACCAGGAGTCAAATTCAATTGCGAACATACTGAAGTTTCATTCTTTCTTCTGTCTTCAAAATTAACATGAAGTATCCAGCCATCCTTTGGATGATCTTGGCAAGTATGCTCACCTGCCTTCTGGCCGATCTGACCACCCACATAAGAACTGACTAACACCATTATGGAAGAATTGAAGCAACAAATTTAATGACGACGTTTTAAGGAAACACAACAAAGAACCACATTTTCCAGAAAGTTCTTAAAATTCTGGAGCTGCTAACAGAATTCATTACAGACCCAGAAGAACGAAAATGATGGGTGATAAAATAATGGTGGGGGATGGAGAAGGTAAATTATATGACTAGCAGTATATGCGAGTGGTAAAAATAAATCGGTTGTAAATGGGTGGAACAGAATAAATGTTGGAAAGAAGAGTGATGATGGTAATTTCCAAAACAAATCCCCTGAATTTCTTCAACAACTCATTTATAGTCAGTAGTATAATAGTTTGTCAAAAATTACCGCGAAATAAACTAAGTGACACATTCGACTACTGCAAATACGACAATTTTATGCATACAGCAGTTTCCGAAAGGATTCGAAAGTAATCAAAAGTTTTGTACGAACACACACATGTCATACTTACGCTTTGTTCCAATAGTGTTATAGCATCACTTTCAAGTTCCCGCATAGGAGCACAGTTTTCAATACTCTTCGCTATATAGATGAGTCACTAGTGCAACCTGATATCCTTTTTTCATTAGCCTAACAATAAAACTTCCTTGCTAAGTATGAAGAGAATGTCTTTCAATAGTTCGACAATAGCACTGCAACTGCTGACGTCATCGCTACTACTACTACTAGTTCATATCAGTAATATGTCAGTTTTCGTCAATTTAATTTCAAGATGTTATAGGACAGTCTCTAATAAATATAACAGGAAGCTGATAATGCGAACAATATATAAAAATTGTTTAACAGTGTTCACCTTAAATAGAAAAGCAAACTAAATTTGTCAAGGTGGTAGGTGACATGTTCACCTACAAATGCGTCGTAAACTGGTTTCGAGGAGACTATTAAGAACATTATTTGAAATATTTGTTAAAGGCAATATAAAGTCTACATATGTGAATCTGTCTGTCTGTCTGGATTCAACATATGTGAATACTTAAATAACCTGAAGTTTAAGGCTTCGTTTGTAAGTTACTTCACAGTTTATATCCTTGAAATTACCACAATGACCTGTCAGTTAAAGCGTAGTGAGAAAGCCTCCAAAAGAGATTTAATGAGTCTCATTTCAGCACCCAGTCTTGTTTATTATTACACTTTATACAGAAATAAGTTACCTTTGACAGAGTTGCTAACACCAAGTGTGCTTATGTAATAAACTAGCATTTCGGTTGGTTGCTTATTCACTATTATTCCTAGCACATTTATCTCGACGATGACAAATGAGATGGAATTCCAGTAACAAAGAACTGCAGCTTCAAAATATTATTTCTACAGCATTGCGGAATACACTACGAAGAGTTTTAAGGACAACGTGTACAACATAGATATCATATCACCTAAAGCAACTCAACTGACTGCTTTTTCATCAGCCTTTTGAAAGAATTCCACAATAATGGAAACGAAGTATGTGTATGTTACACTACACACTGTATAAATCTGTCAAAAGTTGACGTTCGCCATCTAGAATATTTTGAGTTCCTTCGAAAGAATATATCGCTACGGGCATTTCAAATATTTTCAAACTCAATACCATGAATTCAATATTATTAATCATGCTTAATAGTACTGTTATTCAACAATCTTAATCTTAGGTTACCCTAACCATAATATTCGCAAAATAATTAGATATGCTAGTTAAATAGTTATTTCAATCTTAAAATCTTAGTACACTTCAGCAATACGATTGGACAACAGAGAAACAGACGAGATAATTGGACATTAGCGCGAAATTCCAACGTACGTTTTCCATACGATACCTCAATGAGGTATTCCTGTACATATCACTCCTGATTTTTTCATTACAAAACTACTTTATTATAATGTAGCACCGCGATTTCGGCACCTTGTGTTTGAAGAAGGAATTTGGGGCGCTTTACTTACTTGAGGTATTAAGAGGACCATTTTTAAGTGAACGATAGTGTAGGCCGTCCGAAAATCATTATTGTTTTCCATTCCACTTATTGTAACGCAATTATAGGACACGGTTCAAGAAAATAAGTATTTTGGGTAAATATTCTCATCAGGCTTTACAATCACATAATAGAATATCACTCATAAGAGTTTCGAAGTTTGGATCAAGGGAATCAACTATAAAAGGAGTTCAGAGGGCGACTTATAATATACTATCTAGTCAATGACAATAGAGGTAGTCACCAAAGTAACAACGATAAATTTATCTAAGTTTATATAATCTACGTAGTCGCGAGTGTGCAAGTAGAATATGTGTACCAATAGGATTAGTGGGTGAAACGACTGTTGTCACATTGATTAGATAATATAATCATAATTGAATAGTGAAACTTAGATTAAAGTATGAAACTATTATTATTTATTATTATTATTGTATCCTTTAGTTCCTAGAGGAACATAGGGCTTCAGCTGCGCACCTCCATTGACTTCGGTTTTCTGACAACTTTTTCACCCTGCTCCAGGTCTGCCCACATGCTTTCATCTCCTCTTCACATGACCTCCTCCAAGTCACCCTTGGACGACCAACTCGCCGCCTCCCTTTCGGGTTCCACTCGAGGGCTTGTCTAGTGATGTCACTTGATGGTTTCCTCAGCGTATGGCCAATCCATCTCCATTTCTTTCTGCCTATTTGTTTCACAATCGGTTCCTGATTGGTTCGCTCCCAGAGATCCCTGTTGCTGATCTTTTCTGGCCATCTGATCTTGAGTATTGAGCGGAGACAGTTGTTAATGAAGGTTTGAAGTTTGTTTGAGATGCTCTTTATGACTCGCCAAGTCTCTGATCCGTATAGTAGCACTGACTTCACATTGGAGTTGAAAATCCGGATCTTATTTTTGATGCTGATTGCTGTTGACCTCCACACAGATTTGAGAGTAATGAAAGCTTGTCTTGCTTTTCCGATTCTGGCTTTGATGTCCTCGTCAGTTCCGCCTGTAGTTGAGACGATGCTTCCCAGGTAGGTGAAGGAGGTTGTTTCTTTCAGGTTCTTCCCATTTATGCTTATTGTGGTCTGTTGTTGCTGTTGATGTTGGCAAGGAATCTTCATCATCTCTGTTTTATCTATGTTCACGTGAAGTCCTATCTTTGATGCTTCTTCTGCCAACTTGTTACTTTTCATTTGCATATCTTCCAGTTTATGGGAAATCAGACATATATCATCGGCGAAATCCAGATCCTCCAAGTCTTTTGTGTCAGTCCATTTTATGCCTGTTCCCTCGTTGGTTGCCGTTGTCTGTCGCATTATCCAATCAATTGCAATCAGGAAGATCATTGGTGATAGTAGACAGCCTTGCCTCACTCCCGTCCTCACTTCGAAGGCTTCCGTAAGTTTCCCGTTGTGGATTACTTGGCATGCAGCATTGTCGTATAACTGTTGGATGAGGTGTATAATTGTCGATGGGACCCCGTAGTAGCGAAGTAGTTTCCAAATGACCTCTCGATCGACGCTGTCGAAGGCCTTTTCAAAGTCGATGAAGTTGAGATAGAGAGGTGACTGCCATTCCAAGCTTTGTTCAATGATGATCCGTAGAGTGGCGATTTGATCAATACATGATTTGTTTCTCCTGAATCCAGCCTGTTCCGGACGAAGTTTTTCATCTAGGGCTTGTTTGATTCTCTCCAGGATGATGCGACTTAGTATCTTGCTTGGAATGGACAGAAGCATAATTCCACGCCAGTTTTTACATTGACTTAAGTCTCCTTTCTTTGGAAGTTTGAATAAGTAACTGTTCTTCCAATCCTCGGGTACTTTGCCCTCTTTCCACACCTTCTCCAGTAGTGGTGTCATCAAGTCCGCTGTTGTCTCTGGGTCTATTTTCAAAGCCTCTGCTGGGATTCCATCTGGTCCCGGTGTTTTCCCAGTTTTAAGCATCTTGATTGCATTCAGGACTTCTGATTTCGTCGGGGGGTCAGTGTTCACTGGTAGTTCTGCTTCCGTTGTTGGTATTGCTGGACGTGTTGTAGGTGGCGGACGATTTAGAAGTCTTTTGAAGTGTTCAACCCAGTGCTTTCTCTGTTCCACCTCTTTGGTGATTGACTTTCCATTGTCGTCCTTTATTGGCTTAATCTGTGTCGAACGTTTGCCCGAAAGGTTCCTAGTTGTTTGGTAGAGTGTGGCGAGGTCTCCTTTGCCTGCAGCTTGTTCTGCTTCGTTTGCCATGGTTTCATAATATTTTCTTTTGTCTTCCCTGGCACTTTTCTTCACTCTTTTGTTCAGTGTATTGTAGCTTGCATTCAGCTCCTGTTTTTGTTGCTCGTCCGTGCACTGGATAATCTTTTGCTTCACTGTCCTTCTCTCTTCTATTAGTTTCCAAGTGTCCGTAGTGAGCCACTGTTTGTCCTGTCTCTTTTTTCTGCCTAGAATTTCTATGCAGGTTTGGCTCCACACCGTTTTCAAGTTGTTCCAGTGCTTTTCAACGCCGACCTCTTCGCTAGTGTTGATTTGTGTCTCGACTTTGTCCTTTATGCTTGCAATGAAGATGTCCTTTGTAGCCTGGTCCTTCAGCTTTTGAGTGTTGAACTTGGCTTGTGGTCTATCTGCAGCTCCTGATTCCCTGAAAGCTTTTAATTTGATTTGGATTGTCCCTTGTACGAGATAGTGGTCTGAGCCAACGTCTGCTCCTCTTCTTGCTTTTGTGTCCAGTAGGCTGCGCCTCCA